GAAAACTTTGGTGATATTGAGGGATGTCTCATCTATTTTGATGATCTTTTGATATTTGCAGGTAGTCTTAAAGAACATGATAGAATCCTTAATAAAGTATTAGAACGTGCTAGAAATATTGGAGTAAAATTTAATCCCAATAAGATACAGTATAGAATGCCGGAAGTAAAATATTTGGGAAATACATTTGATAAAGATGGTATGAGACCTGATGTAGATAAAGTTAAAGCTATTATAAATTTAAAAGAACCCAATAATAAAAAAGAGTTACAAATAATACTGGGCATGATCAATTACCATCGCAATTTTATACCAAATTTATCGGATGTATCAGCCCCACTAAGAGAATTGTTGAAAAAGGATACAGTTTGGATGTGGACTAGAAGTCACACAAACTCATTTAATTTAATAAAAAAGTTAATTTGCTCACCACCAGTTCCTGCAAATTTTGATGAAAATATTCCAATAATAATTCAAACAGATTCAAGTCAAAATGGTGTTGGATGTGTATTATTACAAAATCTTAAACCTGTTGCTTCTAGATCTTTAACCAATTGTGAAACCAGATTTAGCCAGATTGAAAAGGAACTAAATGCAATCCTATTTTCTTGTAATAAATTTCATAATTATATTTATGGTAGAGAAGTTAAGATTTTCACAGATCATAAGCCATTGATTTCGATAATGAAGAAAGGCATAGCAGAAGTGGACTCTCCTAGACTACAACGTATGAAGGTGAAATTATTAAAATATGACTTAACTGTAGAATATAAGCCAGGCAAGGAAATGCTTATAGCTGATTTGTTGTCTCGAAACTTTTTGAAGGAAAAGGTAGAGGATGATGCATTTGTAACGGAAATAGTGCATACATTAAATATAACAGAAGAAAGGAGAGAGGAATTTATAGCTGAAACTAAACAGGATAAGAAGCTTCAAATAATTAGAGATTTTTGTGAAAAAGGGTGGCCGTTATGTGCATCGAGGGTACCTTACATAGTCAAAGATTATTTTAATATTAGGCATGATGTTTACGTAATGGATTATCTCACAAAGTGGACTGAAATTGTTCCGTTGCAGTCCAAAACATCCCAGTCAATAATAAATTCGTTTAAGACGATGTTTGCCACTCATGGGATTCCTTTGGAAGTTGTATCTGATAATATGCCTTTTGGCTCTAAGGAATGTCGAGAATTTTCTAAGGAATGGAACTTTAAATTTGTGACATCTAGTCCTAGATATCCTAGAGCAAATGGTCAGGCAGAACGAGCCGTCCAGATAGCTAAAAATATTTTCAGGAAGTGTGAAGATCTTCAGTTAGCTTTATTAGAATATAGAAATACACCACTATTAGGATCAGACAAGTCCCCAGCACAACTCTTGAATAGTCGTAGACTTAGAGGCAAACTTCCAGTTTTACAAGAGAAATATTTACCAGAACAGGTAGACCTAAAAAATGAAAAGAATAAATTGGATAATAGAAGAAAATTGTACAAGCACTACTATGATAGAAATACAGCTACAAAAGAAGCATTAAGTGTATGGGATAATGTGGTTATAAGAGAAGATGGGCAATGGAAACCTGCTGTGGTTAGACGAGGTTTACAAGAGCCAAGATCATATGTTGTTGAGAAAGAAAATGGAACACTTGTAAGAAGAAATAGCTATCACTTGAGACCATCTAATAATATGCCTAATCATCATATTAACCTAGCAGATGATTTTGATCACAATGAGAATGGCAGACCTTCAACATCAATGGCCCGTGAGAGTGAAATATGGAATCAGTTTCCTACCAGAAGTAAAAGATTAATTAAACCCCCATCTAGATATAATGATTTTGAAATGTACTAGTTTTGCAATCAGTATTGTTATTAGTTTTTATTTTAGAATGTTTTTATTCTTAGTTCATTGTTGTAATGTCTGTATATTATAGGAAGGGAAAGATGTCATGAGACTGAATAGCTTGTAAATGTAAAGTCCTGACAGGACTATGACATGGGATAGGCGGCACGTGGTCTCGGGGCAGAGGTTAGGTTAAGCACTTGAGATTAGGAGGTTAGGATGACACTGTAATCTGTAATACTGAAAGTAATATTAATAAATATGTACAACAGTCCGTGTTAAACATTATTACACCCACAATATCCCAATTCACTTTTGAGAGTTATTCCTCTATTTCTTTGAATCTTTCCATGTCATCACATGCTTCTCCGGGAAGAAAGGTATCTATATAGGAGCAAAATAATAAACTCGCGATGGCAGGCTTGCTATTCATAAAGTAGATCTGTCCTCTACCGGAATCGCAAAGGAGTATCTACCCGCTACCTGCTTCGAAACATCTACTTTACACAAATACAACCAAAAGCAACTATTTCAAGACTTTTTTTTCACGTTTGGAACGATTTTTTTACTTTTGGGACGATTCCACGTGAGATTAGTGAAGCTGTTAAAATGGCTAATTATTGCCACTAAAGGCAAGAGACAGGCATGGATTAGTCTAACAATGTATTTTAAAAATTTAGCAATTACAAAAAGTGCAAGATTTAAATAAAGAAGTCATTCTTGCATATTTCATGAAAAAAATTTAAAATCTCAAGCTCTCGAGTCTCTGGAGCATTTAGGTACTCAATGTTAAGGTCCACAATTCACATTAAAAATAATAGGATAGATATTAGCTAATATCCCTGTAATTTATAATAAAACGTTCATAAGTAATGTATTCATGCAGATTCTTTTTAACATAATAAACTCCTACAAAAAAATATTTTATGTAACACGATCCAAAAGTGATGGTATGGTATATTGTTAAGTTAAAGTTGGCCTCATGTAATCGAATGAAATCTCTTTCAATAAAGTCGTCCTAGGAACGCAACTCAAAACATATTAACAATATCATTTTAAACTCATATACTTTGAAATGTATAATATGTTTAATATATGTGTGAATTGTAAATAAAAAAGTCAGACAAAAAATAATTAGAATATTTTTTTACGAAGTAACAAAAACAAAATGTGTTTAATTTATGAATGTTTTGTATTTTGAGAACGACTCCCGAAGTGAACGACTACCGAACGAAGTGGAACTCGAAACGTCAAAAATAACTTATTTTAAAGTAAAATCGTGGCTTATTTTCAATAAAAATAGTAAATCCACTGTATTGGGCACAATTTTATCCTAATGCATAACAATGGACATCTTTATACATGTAGCACTGTCAGGGAATATTTAAAGGAAGTTTTACCAAATACTATAGACTATAATACATACAACTCTTGACATTTCCCATTAGTTTTGTGGCAGCAAACAAAATAGCGCCATCTCTTGGTATGAGTTGATAACTACAAACTTATGCATTTAATTGCCTGTTATTTAATAAGTGTAATTTATTAGTTTATTTATAGATTAAATCAAAATACAAATTTAATTGTGAGTTATTTTCTTTAATTTGATATTTTTACATTTTAATTTATATAATTTTTTCTTATTACTGTCGTTAATTTTATTTACATAAGCTTTTATTAACACATTAAAATATTTATCTATAAAAGTCTTGTAACAATTTGTTCATACATTTTGGAGAGTTTCTTGAAAGTCACATTTTAATTTCAATTTATATTTAACATTTTCAACGCTTCCTTTTATATAATTTTGAAAATACCTTTTAAATATTTCATTAATTTTATCTGAGGCTCCCTTGGCTTCATCATTTGGAAATTTAAAATTAGATGATTTCTCTTATTTTTTTAACTCTATTAAGGTATTTTCTAAAGAATAATTATTAAAAGAGTTACATACTGCATTTCTACATTGTTCGTGAGGCAATTGACTGCAAACTCATCCTAACACATAAGTCTCAGAATTTTTTTCGATCATATCGTAATTGTCATTACTTATGTCGTTTTCGGTGCAATGCTCGATAGGATTATTAAGCAATACTTTAATTGGGTTTTTGAGCATTTCATCTTTTTGAATTAAAAATGAACAAGCATCAATGTCGCTGTTGCTGTCCGCTGATGGTTGCAGTAACTGATTTGGCATGACAGTACGCAAGTTGCACCTAAATTTCACACTGTCAGGTGTATTATTATTAAAACCCTTAGCCCTAATAATAGAAAATAAATTTTGTATACAGTCTTGGGTTAGCCTTTTTGTAAAAAGAAATTGAAACCCATAATTGCTCTTTAAATCATTCCAAAGCAACTTCAGAGAATAATTATTTGATATCCATCCATTGATACATGTTGGATTAACTCTTCTTCTGTTCAATTCTCTGATATTACTTAGAAATTCTTTTAAATCGTCCGATTTATCAATATAATAATGATTTTTTATTGAAATTGGCTTTCTGAATTTCTTGTCATTATATTTTGAAGAATTGAAAATGTCAAATAAAGTGTCCACTTTCTCAATAAAGTTAGCTGTGTATGCTGCACTCGCTGGTAATTTATTTAATGTAACATGACATAGCATCCCTATTTTAGCGAGATTAGCTAATAATACAAAAATTAGAAAAAGAAAATTTGTATGTTTATGTTGACAAAACGTAGTTATCAACTCAAGCCGCTGTGGCGCTAGAAGCAACGTGCTGCCAGTTTTGTGTCGGAGTTGGATGTATTATAGTCTATAGTATTTGGTTTTACATACCCCGACACTCGTGGAGATAATACGAGGTATGAATGAGACAGACAATAAATACTGTTTTTTATTTATTTGTTTTTTTTTCTGATTATAATTCTATAAGTGTAAAAAACTTATTATTTTTTTTGTTAATGTATACATAAAATTCTCTTAAAATGAAAAGTATTCTCGAGCTTAAAATGAAGTTACGTCAAGTTTTTGTACTGATATCAATAATTGTATTAATATTGTAACTTGTATGAAAACTTGTTACTCATCTATAATATTGGCAACACCGCCCAAAATACCGAGTTCATCATGATATCGAGTTCATCGAGAAATCGATTGTACGGTTGGAGCAATCATCGATTTAATATGGAAGGAAATTTCCAACCTCACTTCTTTCGAAACGTTGACAACTAATTTATTCAGAAAGTTTTTGTTGTTTTTCAAAAATTGGTACAAAAAACAACTCCAAAAATACAGAAGAAATTTGGCTTTAATTTTAAACACAAGTATTATCACTAATTACTTTTTTATTTCATAAATCAAGGTGAGTAAAAATTAATAACTGTATATTTACTTAAATTTCCCATTTTAAGTTTTAATGCGTTTGAATCTATTAAATTTGTTGATCCGTGTTGCATTTTGTCTATTTTAAAAGAGCGAAAGGTATTGGCTCTTATAAATGTTTTTTTATCTGCTAAATAAATATACGGGATCGGTATTTTGTGGTGTTAGTTCTTGTAACTGAGTCTCTTTTGTCCTATATAATGCAAATTACTTTATTTATGAATACAATTATCAACCTAGATTTTAATATTTCTTTATTTCCGCGCGAACCCATTTCACAATAAGTATAAAATAAAACTATCAATGTAAAAGATACAATATAACAAATTAGAAATACATTTTAAAACTAGATTAGATCAAATATATTAAAAACTATTGTTAGACTGAGATAAAATTTATGTTTGGTAGCAATTACCCCAAGTGATATTAGATGATGTGACTCAGAATATGTTTAAGTTGAGAAATTGGAGCCTATAAAAGTGATCCTTACTTAGATCTGGTGGTATAAATAAAGAATAAGTATAATTGAGACAGTTCTCTTTAGCGACTAGGAACTGTAAATTTGATTTTAGCTAACAATTCAGGTTTATCTATTTGACAGTTAATTAATTTGAATGATGAAATTTAATCATGCTCTAGACTACAGTTTTTTAAGTGGACACAGTTAACATCTGAATACTAGTATCATCATCTAAATACGTTTAAATGCTAAATATTGAAGAAAATTATTTTGAACATTTCTAATTTTGTCTATACCACCCTGATAATGAGATCAAACTAAAGAATGGTATTCTAAATGAGAGCTCATTAGCCCACAATGTAGTATATTTAATATCTGGCATTAGTAAAATCCTTTGTAACTGTTCCAAAAGCATAATACTGAGATAAAGGGTTTTTCAACAAAAAGGATACTGACATTGCTCCTGGCAGGTTCCTGAAATAAATTAGTACCATTTCTTCACAGAGGTGGGAAGTGAAAGTGCTATACATATGCAAAATTTGTCATTGACAGTTGTGAATCAAGTTACTGCACTTAATTGAAGTAATAGTCATTATATTTTGTATAAATTAGTGATAATCTAAGCCATCTAAGCAAGTGTTCAAAATCTCCTCCATTGACAGTATCCTAAACGATGGTAGAATGCAAATATTACATTTCTCCATGGTTCCCTAGAAATTAATATTAATTTATCAATAATTTATTGCCTTAGTTTTGCAACACTTGCTGGTTTAGTTTTATAAATCCTACTTTTCCAGTATCCACAATAAAAATGATAGCCAGGATTCAAATCAGATGAACGAGGAGACCATTCAATAAAACCTAATCTACCAATCTCTAGCCTGCGAAAGAATGCCAAACATTTACACCAAAAAAAGCGGAAGCTCTGTCTTGCTGAGACCATATCTAACTAAAATTGGCTCCAAACTTGTTTTTCAGTACAAGTACAATTTATTTTCACTTCTAAGTAGCATTTCATAATTATTGCTTGTTAAATCTCCTTCTATAAAAAACGGACCAATTAACTGAGTACTCACTATACCTAACCATACATTTGGTTTTTTTTGGTTTTGAGTATGGTTTTCACATATCCAGTATGGATTTACCTCACACCAATACTGTAAAATTTAGCAATCTTTAACGAAACTTTTGCATTAAATCTACTGATGAAGTACTCGCATACTAAAGATTGAAAAGTATTCGATTTTTAAAAGAATTCATTGCACATGAGTATGAGTATAATGGAATCGAATCCAGAATGAGTACATGTTGTGAGACAACGATTGTGGACTACAGAATTACTGATAATCGGTTATGCTTGAGCATTGTTACTTAAAAATATTCATTGTATACCGCAGTACAATACAATGGTATCGAATGCAAAAAACGAGTTATATGGTATGTCAGTTTAATCTCGCTCAACATTTATGAACTATAAAATTACTGATAATCACCGATGCTGTGCATTGTGATCGTTAAATTAAAATTTCTGTTATGGGTATAAAATATATTATGGTGCAGAATTACAGATATGATATAAACGAAAATAACTAAAAAACACAATGCACTTATGTCAGATCATAAATGAAATACAAAAAAAAATTAAAAATATTCAGTTTCGTAATAGGAAAAAAATTGTTTATGTATAAGCACTGTTCAAGAAAATAATCATATCCAAATTGTTTGGTAATAAACGATTTCTTTTAACATTAGTTAGCTGACCAGCCTTTGAAAATACTCTTTCCGAAGGGACTGACATAGCTGGTATACAAAGATATTTCACAGCAAGGTCATATAGTTCTGGAAACATGATTTTATGTTTCTTCCAAAAGTTTCATGGATTATCCAATCTTCTTAAGTATGGAAACTATAGATACTGCTTGATAGTAACTAAAGCTGAACTAGTTGATGAAGTGCTATTTTGTACTTTTCCATTTTAGAGTCAAAAAATGCCCACATATCACTGGAATCGCTCTCTTGTTGCGGAGAGTGCGCTGTAGTTTCCAAATATGTTTAAGTCTTCTAAAATCCATTGCTCAGCATTTTTATTGTTTTGTTTCTTACCAAACCAAAGTTTCTTATATCGGAGATCTAAAAAGGTACCTTTGGCAACTATCTTATTTTGTTCCAAATATCCAAGACATCTAAAAATTACTTCTATGAGGTTTCTTTTCAACATTTGGCCACACTCAGTTTTAGGAACAATATTGTGCAAGGAATGTTTAAGTCCCTGTACTAGTGGAATTATTAATGACAGTGTGGGATACTGCTCTCCACAAAGAACTGTAGTTAATTTTTCAGGTGCTTTTAGTATATTTGCACACTCTTCAAGAATTAACCATGCAGAAGCATCTAAACCTTCTGTTGCACTTGGAGATTTGCTATACACACTGCCAGTGAATCTTTAATTTTTAGCAGTCTTTCAATCATAATAAGACAAGAATTCCATCTTGTTACCACATCTTGCTTTAACTTTTAAAATAGGCACATTCATTTGAGTTTGTGTTTTTTAAATTGTATTAAAAATTTCATTTAACTGTATAGCATCTGTTACACTTAAATTTAGAGTATGTGTACATATTCATTAATTGATTTTTTGATATTAGCGCCAGATCAATAGCGGGCATATCATTAAGAGACAGACAAACCAACAGAAGTATACGCGAACAATGCAAAATTCAAAATATTAACAGGTGGATAAAAACAACAAAAAACTGGAACAAACATGTAAACCGAATGGGATCAGATAGATTAGCGAACATCTGTAAAAACAAGCCGTATGATAGAAGACCCGCTGGAAGGCCGCCAAAAAGGTGGAAAGATAATGTACAGTCAACAACGACTGAAACAGAATAAGAGACAGACAAACAGAAGTAATCGTAGTCGCACGAAGAAGAAGACGATATTAGCGCCGTTATCAGCAACAATAGTCAACACTTTCTTCTGTATGAGATCCTACTATTTCTTTGATTGCAATATTAAAAAAACATGTTTTCTCATTGTAAATAAAATTAATTGTAACAGATATATATGCTTTACAACTATCAGAAGTCCATATGTCTGTTGTTATTGACACATATTTTATTGTAAGTAACATTTGCTTCAGTTTCGAAACAGGGTCTGAATATTGTTTTTGAATAATATTTTCTGTCAGATTTTTCTACTAGGTAATATATACTCAGATACTCACTATGTAATGCTTTGGTATATTCTTTGAATCCTATATTTTCCACTATGGATAGAGGTTGATAGTCATTAGTGATCATTTTTAATAATTTATTATCGTATTTCCCGTTTTTTTAGCCATTGTATTTCGGACACAGAATAGTTTTAATTGTTTGAACTTCTTTCTTTCAGGTACTGGATTTTCATTTTCTGCTTTTCTCTTTGAAGAACATTGTTCTCGTGAAGATTCAAGTGAAATTTCATCTGTACCGACTATTGCTTTAGGTACTATAGTCTGTTCATCATCTTTTACGGACGAAAACGGTGCTGCATTATTTTCACTCCACTGCAGAGTATGCATTATCTAAAAATGTTTCTTCGTATTAGTTGTATTCCCATGGCACTTAAATTCCTTTTTACACGAGGAACATTTAACCGATTTGTTAATGTTCCCATATTGTCCCATACTGCGGATTTAATTCCACGTAGCTTCATATTTAAGTTTAACAGTATATTTAACTACAAAAAAAACTAAATAACTTTGAACTATCAATAAACTCACGACCGAAATATCTCTTACAAAGCGGAAGAACAAAAACTAACAATAAAAAGAAATATAGGATAATCAGAACTCTATATACCTACTCTCTGGGATTCCCTGATAATACTAATAAGCCACTCATGAATTATCACAGAGCTTAATAGTTTAGGAGCCAAACTAGATCACCGTGGCCTTTTCAGTTCTGATGGATCCACCCAAGTTTTTTTTATCTATTTTTGGCTGCTGATTACGAATTTCGAGGGTGATTTCGATACGAGTGATCAAACAATTTGTTATAAACAATCTAATTGTTTATTAGGCTCTAGGTCGTAAACTAAAATAGATAAAAAATATTTTCAAAAATTTGGTTCCTTGAAAAATCAAAGAAAATGGCGTTAAGTATTTTTCGAAGTTTTTTCAAATGTAACGCGGCTTCTACGCATGCAAATAAAGCATTATTTATGTCATTTCACACAATATTTGTTAAAACTACTGTATCTTTATTTGTATTAAAGTTATACCTGTTTGAAGTTGTAACTTTAAAAAAATATAAATTAATTTGTTTATAAACTTTCAGACTTGTAAAGCTCATTTGCATGCGTAGAAGCTGAGTTACGATTAAAAAAATACTAATTTTACAATATCTCGAGTTCTAATTATTTAATTAAAGATTAGTAGACGCCATTTTCCTTATTTTTTTTATTCAATGAACAATTTTTCTTTGAAAAACATTTTTTTATCTCTCTTTAAAAGTATTGTTAAACAAGTTGACTACTTCACTATGAGATCTTTTTCATTAAATCCATCTTTATTGTAGAGCTTTTAAAAACACATAAAGAGCCGGTGAGCTTAGTGCCAAAGATTAGAAGAATCTAATGATATCAGTTAATGGTAAATTTGGCAATATTGATCATCCATTTAAGAAATAATTAGATATATAAGTTCCAAGGTTGTAGCAAATTTAAACTTAAATATGATGAAAAGTCTTTAGCAAACTGATTAACTGTTTCAGAAAAATACTGAGATTAAAAAGTATCAAAGAGTCTTTTGCAATCTTACTGTTTTTTTTTTCTTCAGAATGGTTAGTTCACGTTAATTCACACATGAAAACCACAACAGAAATATCTTTGTTAGAATATTTTTTTAATTGGAACACCAAGTTCTATCACAGTGTTTAGGACATCATAAAATATATTATTCATAACATCTAGAAATTTACTTATCAGAAGTTTGGTCCATATAATTCCACCTAAACAATCGTTAATTATCTTAATCAAATATAATCTGATTATCATAATCAAAATAATTATTATTGATATCAGTGTTTTTAGGAAAAAGTAAAAAAGAAGAGTTTAAACCCATATCTCTATAGGTAACAATGCAACCTCTGTCAAAATCGATAACATGGTGGTAATTTTGGTGTCTTACTCAAGGCATTTTCTTACACTGAATACAATTATAGTGGGGAATAATAACTAAAAATTTCTGTACCTGCCAGTCTTCATAAAGCGGTCTCTTCGCAAAAAAGTTCAAAGATAAAACTTTATTTGTACAAAAAGTATAAAAAATAAAACATTCTGGGTATGACACTTCTAATGTCACTGAGTATATTAAATAAAAAAAGGTAGAAATGTCAATGAATACAATAATAATGGTAAAATACAAATGATGGTATTTTGTTTTAACTGTTATTTCTTTAGTTATTTAGGTACAGTTTTTGGTGTGTTTGAAAAATGATATTTTTGTTTTAGATGGAAATGCTAAAATCACTTGAAGACCATTCAAGAACTATCATCCACATTGACATTGACTGTTTTTATGCTCAGGTTGAAATGATTAAGAACCCAAAGCTTCGACAAGTTCCTTTAGGTATCCAACAAAAGAATATAATAGTTACTACCAATTACATAGCTAGAAGTCAAGGAGTAAATAAATGTGTTTTAGTTAGTGAAGCCCTAAAACAATGTCCGAATATGGTTTTGGTGAATGGTGAAGACCTTCATGATTACAGACAAAAATCTTATGAAGTTACTGCATTGTTACAAAATTATTCCAGGGTGGTAGAGAGACTAGGCCTTGATGAGAATTTTATAGATGTTACAGAGTTGGTGTCTGAAAGGATTGAGAACGTTATTGATATAAGTACAATTGGAAATATATTTGGTGATGACAATGATTCATGTGATTGTGGTTGTACCAGAAGGCTTCAGATAGGTACCACTATAGCACAAGAGATACGAGATAAGATTAAATCTGAATTACAGTTAACTACAAGTGCAGGGATAGGTCACAATAAACTATTAGCTAAAATTGTAGGGAGTGTCCACAAACCTGATCAACAAACTGTTGTATTTCCTCAAAACGGCGTAGAACTTATGCTCAGCTTATCTTCAGTGTCCAAAATTACTGGTATTGGTTATACTCTCTCTGAACAACTTAAAACTGTAAATATAGTGACTGTTGAAGATCTTCAAAAGACCAACTTTACTATCTTGAGCGATCTTCTAGGACCCGAAAAAGCCAAGTTAGTACAAACCCTTAGTTTCGGAATAGATGAAACTATTGTTAAATCTTCTGGGAAGCCACAAAGTATAGGAATTGAGGACAGTTGTAGAGCTTTAAGTGCTGAAAAGGAAGTTCGTGAAAAACTGGAACATCTTTTAAATAGACTAATTATTTTATTGGTAGAGGACGGAAGGTTACCAAAAACAATTAAGTTAACTATAAGGAGATTCGATAGGGAAAAGAAAAGAAGTAGTACACGTGAAACAAAACAATGTAATATAAGCCCTTCGTTATTTAATACTCTCGTAAGCTCTCAACTCCCGGACAATAATATTAAAAAAATAATGACAGTAATAATGCATTTGTTTAATAAATTAGTGGATCCAAAGAAACCATACCACCTAACTCTCTTGGGATTAGCATTTACGAAATTCTTGGAAAAACCAGCTACTGGAAACATACTTACGAACTTTATTAAGAAAGATATAGAAGTACAATCTGTTACAGACATCCATAATAATGTTACAAGTAGTACATTATGTAAAACAGTACCTGCAACTTTGATTATACCTCCTGAATGTGATATAGAGCCTCCATCAAAAAAATATAAACTATCTCATAGCCATCTGGATTCACCTACAGATCTACCAGTAGCTGCCTTACATTTGAGCTCAGATGCTATAAGCTTTGACATTTCTAGTACGAAAATACCAGAAAGTACTGACGACTCAGAAAGTAGTTCATCAGCAGTTAACAATAATTTGGATATAAAATGCCCGCCGAATGTTGATCATTCTGTGTTTCAAGAATTACCTTGTGAGTTACAAAACGAGCTTTGGGAAGAATACAAAAGAGATCAGCAATCAGAAAAAAGATTTCAGAAAAATAAAAGGTTTAAATCTAATAATATATTGAATTATTTTACTAAAATGTGATAAAGGCTAGATATATAAAAAAAAATTAAAATACCTCTCTTTTTACATATATACACTCAACGCTAAAATGAAATATTCTTTTTACCTGTTTATTCGCTTAAGAAACTATTATTTTTTGTTTATATTATTTTATTAATTTTATTCTTACTGTGGTGTACTACGCAAAAGTTTATTTTCACATGTACAATATATTATTGAATTTAATATTAAAGCGTATTTTTTCTTTTATATAATTTTGATATCTTTCGGCAACTTATCATATTAACCCATTAATGCCTAGAACTATGAACTATTATTAAAACAATTCAAAATGGCTGTTTGGTGTTACAAAATTATTAAATATGACATGAAAAAATGTTTAAATTTTTTTTTGATATTTAGTTTATGATTTTGAGAGTGGGTCGTTAACGACTCATTGGGCCCTTACTCAAATAAACACTAAGATTAAGATTTTCTTTATTTCATTGAAATTCATCAAAACATTTATCAGAAGTGGAATTTGACAACTCTCCCATGTTTTCGTAGTTTGATTTTTACACTGGGAACATCTTCTTGTCTGTTGGCAAACCATTAAGTGACGGTTGTCTGAGGTGGTATTGTAGATAGAAATTCTCTTTGGTCCAGGCATTTTTGGTTTAACTTTATATTTTTTGAGAGATGCTGTGCAATTTCTCTTCTAAAATGTAGAATTTCCTGATCATATCCGTAAGGGCGTGCTAGTTGATTAGCATAGGAATGGAGGAATCAGAATGCTCGACCAGACCGACCGTCCACGATCGACCAACATTACGAGTCTATGAAAATGTATGCGCAGAGTCAGACTGGTGGACCGTCCATCACTTACAGCGATCGTCCAGTTTTGAAATTCGGATTTGTTGGAATTTCTTATTGTTTGGTCGATGAATATGGAACATTTCGCATTCATTTATACTGTTCTGAGCAATGACATTGACCATTGGCATTTCAAAATTTGTAATTAACCTATAAAAATTGGTCTTGCTTATGCGATAATAATTTTGAAATTTAATACAATGGGATATAACAAAGAATTCTCCTTGTCGGTTTCTTTCTAAAAAAATGTCACGCTCCCAAACTGTCCTACGCCTACAAAGACGTCTTCACATAAAGTAAGTGATAAAAATTTATCAGTAGAATTATAGCTGCTAATCCTATCCATAATTCAATTTTCTACAAAAAGCCCGGTAAAGTAATATTACAAAAATGTGGTTATGCTGCAACACTCTCCTGTAGTTTTTTATGTCACCTTTTAAACGTGAGCATAACTCCGTTAATATTTTACTCTAGAGTAAAATATTACCAGAGTCGAAATTTAACGTTACGCTGGACTATATCCAATGCAGAAACGTCGTCGATTAAAGGTGTTGTTTGGCTCGCTTGTGGTTGTTGGGCTGTAGATAGTTGTAAGATAGGGCCCGCTTCTTAAACGCTTAACTACTTTTAAAAACTTATAAATCTACGTAGGTATGTTTTTTATGAATAAAAGAATATATTATAGTGTAAGTTTATTTATAAAAAATTACTTAAAAATATTGTTCATCAAGAAGATTGCTGATAGTCAGGGATTGTTGAAAATCTGAAAGGCTGGTCTCTTCCTCGCCGTAGAAATAGATGCTTTTAGATGAATCTACTTGGACAAATCCATTTTCTGAGAACCTTCCCTTTATTTCAGTGTCTAACCAAACGAATAATGCAGGTTTGTCTGATGAAACGGTAACTTCAAACATATTCTCATCAGCCTTGTATACTTTTACTGATTCAATCTAAAAATAATTATACAAACTTAAAATTGTGTAAACTCTGTGTAAAAACTAAGTATTATATACTTAGTGACATTGAAATTGTTACACCCAAGAAGAAATTATTTCTTGGACTTCATTTTTTGGCAACATGATAGATCTACATCAAGAATGAAACGATAACGTTGTCAAAAATTTTGATTAACAAATAATGAAAAAAAATTGATAATGTGTTTGGCGACCCCGTAGTTGAATACACTCCTGTATACGGCTAGGCATTGACAAAATGAGATGATCGATGTCTGCTTGTGGCACCTCGTTCCAAGCAACTTGATTTTCATGTAATATGTGTGCCAGAGTCTTTGGAGGATGGTGCAATGTGGAGAGTCTCCTTCTATATATATATATATATATATATATATATAATATATATATATATATATATATATATATATATATATTTAATATATATATATATATATATATATATATATATTAAAAGCAGTTAAGGCATCAGAGACGATGCCGAAAGCTCGGCAAATGGATATCGACGCGGTTCAATCCGGAAGACTGGTGAGTTTGATATTAATTTTAGTAATAATATTAATCTTAGCTCTAGGTTATATATATATATATATATATATATATATATATATATATATATATATATATATATATATATTCCATAAATGTTCGATAGGATTTAAATCCGGAGCATGGGGCGGCCACGGCAAAACAAAACATTAACGCCAGCTTTTTGGAGAAAATCCATAGTTTGACGAGCAATATGGGGACGCGCATCATCTTGCCAGCGGCGGCTCGTGGCCTAAAAAAGTGGTGAAGATGAGGAAAGCTTGCCGGAGCCAAAAGGAGTTTTGGTACCTACGTCGCGCCCAAATCTCATTAAAAATTCGTTAAAAAACTATAGTTATAAAAACTAAACTAATAAATACTATACTATATAAAAAATGTGTATACCGGGTGGTAAATCGTCAAACGGGCCATAGGAAACTCAATGGGAAATTTTAAATTGTTGAATTGCTGCTTTCCTAATTATTTTAGATCAAAAGTCATTAAAAACTATTTGTAGAGGACTAAAATCTGAATTAAAAACAAATGTTAAAACCGTTCTACGAATTAAATGTATTTCAAAATTTGGCAAAAATATAATACATTTTTCAGGCCACCCCTAAAAGTTAGGCCACACGTATTGCAAGAATGTTTTATTATGACGTCAAATTTATGTCAGATGTTTGACAATATTTGAATTGTCAATTTTTTTATTTTACGATTAAATTATAAACAATGAATTTTACTAAATACTACTACTACTGAACAACAACTATTACTTTGTGAACAATAAATTATATTGTTTACAAATCAAGTAGTTTTGTAAACAATATAATTTATTGTTAGTTGCGAGCACTACCAGATCTTTATTTAACGTAAGATATTCTAATACACTAAAATTTAATTCCAAGTTATACAACAATTCAATGAATTCCAATATAGTGTTACTGTGATCTTTATTCCTAAAAATAATTTATGCTATTTTTAAACATATATAAAACATGTTATAAAACTATAACAAATATTATAATAAAACATGAATAAAACATTTTTATTATTGCTTTTCTCAACTGAGTACATTTTTTAATCAACTTAATTTTTTTTTAACAGTAGATCACAAAATAAAAATGTTGGCCATTTAAATAATAGTTATTATTGTTATATTAAATAATATTTAAATATTGTCAAATATAAGAAACATCAATATGAACGCAACACGTAATACACATTTTTTTCACGGCGTCTGGCCTGAAAAATGTATTATATTTTTGCAAAATTTTGGAATATGTTTAGATCGTAGAACAATTTTAACATTTGTTTTTGATACATATTTGAGTCCTCTACAAATAGTTTGCCATGACTTTTGGTGTAAAATAATTAGGGAAGCAGGAATTCAATCATTTAGAATTTCCCAATGAGTTTCCTATGGCCCGTTTCACGATTCACCACCCTGTATAATAGACAAAATATTGTCGCTGCAAATACTAAATAGGTACCCATGCAACTAGTGGCCAGTGGGTGAAGACGAATAATATATTTTTTAACGGAACTGCACTATTCTCAACATCACTAGCGACAGGCTGACGTCACGTTGCCATGGTAACCATGAACGCTGGTGCAGATGGATTTCGCATTTCAAAGATGATATTCACCTATTCCTGAATCATACACATCAAGTGACACAGGTCAGGACTTGACCGTCCAGTAGGTACCTACCGCACCGCTAATAAACCTAGCTGTGTTTTTCAATTTTTAGATTAATTAAAAGAGAATAAATAATTGATTTCAGAATTTAGATATAATAATGTTGCTTTTATTTTTTATTTATTTGACTCAATTTAATTATATTTTAATGGTGAACATCTACTTCACCTGGCCGGCCGCCGCTGTGTCTTGCTGAAATGGGACGTCTCGACGGCTGTCGAGAAAAGGCAGTAAAGTGGTTTGTAAGATATCATCAACATAACGCGCAGCTGTCATATTGAATAAACATAAGTGGTGATCGGCTACCTTATTCAATAGTCCCAAAAAACAACTGTCCTATGTACATGCCTCTCAACAGTAAATCCGATATCTCGTCGCTCTCCACGGCGGCGTCTTACCATCATGCATTCCTAAACAGAAACGTGATTCGTGGCTGAATTCTACATTGCGCCATTCTGCCACCCAATGTTGCCGTTCTCTGCACAAATTCAAACGTTGATGACAGTGGTCCGCAGTGAAGGTAAGTAAGCACTTGTCGTGGGCGGAATAAAACCAGTCCAGTGGCACAGTATATTGCTTTATAAAGAATTCTTTAGCAATATACTGTGCCAAAGGCTCGAACGTGTGCGACGGTATAGTGTACGCATACTAACAGGTCTACCTACTATTCCAAACTATTGGTCAGCAATTTGACGCGTAGTAGCAAAACGGTTTCACAGAGCCAGTAATCTAAAGCACTTATCTTGACGCTTTGTGGTACGCCTCGGTTGACCAGTTGGTCTTCTTCGTGTTACTCTACCTTCGTTTCTCCACACACGACAGACGCGCATAACCGTCATTGTCGTACAATTAACACAATGGCCAATTTCGCGATACGACCCATATCTCTATACGCAATAACTCTACCGCTGTTAAAATCGCTAACACGGTGGTAATTCTGGTGTCTTCTAAATCGAGGCATTTTCTTACACTGAATACAATTAGATTAAGGAATAATAATTAAAATTTCTACATGAACCGGTTTTAACAAATCGGAAAACTTTTTTTTACAAAAAGTATTGTTTTTATGTTTTAAATATAGTCATTCTGCTACCAAAAAATTAAGTTCAAGAAATTATTCCTTCTGGGTGTAACACTTCTAATGTCACTGAGTATGTGTAACTGGTGCTGAGACTAGTATCCAATGCTTTGCTGCAGTTATTGGCAACTCTTATTTACTAGTTCAGTGGAAAAATCACGTATGAACTAAATGAACTTCTACATAACTATGAGCATATTGAGTAATTGTTAATTTTCTACATTCCTGGAGCTTCTCAGGAATTGTTTCTTAATTCTTGACTTTTCTAATTTCTTGATCAAATGTGGACCAATTAAAACAACTTACCGATGAGCTACACTTAAAATTTTAAATAACACAGCTCAAGGCTGAATTACAACAAAATACTATTGAGATAACCACTCGAGAGATACTAAGATGCCTTTGCAACTCCTAGTAGTTTAACCATCTTAAATACCAAGATTAACCCATATCTACGCAAATTGCATAAACTTTTCGAAGAGCGGAAATTTGTATAAAGTACACAGGGCAGTAGTAGACGGACTGTATATATTCTATTATGTCAGAAATATAAACGCAAAGACTAAAAAGCAAAAAATAGATATTTAAATATTTTTTTAATTTGTTTTTAAACTAAAAAGTATTAAAATTTATCTCATAGAAATTTATAATTCCACATATATTCATAACTCTATGCAGATTGTTCAAAAAATTTGTGATAGTAAATTTAAATAGCTATGAAATTACTTGTACAATTCAAAACAAAAAAGTGTAGAAACGTATAAAATCGATGCATAAACAAACACCAATAATAATGAAATAATTGCAAATGTGAGTCCATTTTCAAAGAGTAAAAAAAACAAAAAGACATACATAATGACAGTTGGTTTTTGTTCAACAGCCAATTTCGAGATTTACAAATACAGCCCATCATCAGGTCCACGTTAAATGTAGGTAAGTATATTGCAAGTACACCTATAATATCATTTAAATTATATGATTTTACATTTTACTTTTTTTTACTTGCTTAGATTTTATTTACTTATATTGTAGCATTTTTAAATTCCGTTCTCTATTGAGTTTTAATTCCCGTATAAGGTTTTAATTGGCGTTTAAAAAAATATTCGAAGAACCTTCAGTGACCTTTCGAACGAGAATAAACAAAATTTAAGTATTTATTTTCAAATTGCCTTGGGTACAACGTTTTCTCAATAATAATTGTCGTCCATAATGTAGCATCCAAACAATTTTTTAAACAGTTGGCCCTTTGTCTAGTGTTAGTTTTTGTGTAGATGTATTTAAATCTTTGTGACATTCGGTCATGATGTGCTGATAGCCAAAATTTTTTTGACGAAATGCTTCTAATGATGCTCGAAGAGCGAAAACCTTTTATTTTTAAAATTCATATATTCGAGCATTCAGCCATATCTGCTTTTACTACTGTATTGGTTTATTGGAGCATTAATACTGAAATCGTAAAGAAAAGTTCTCATTTGTTGAAGAAAAAATTGTTGATGAAAACGGTGGCAAAATACACGAATTGGGTTTTGAATTCCTTCTGCACCCACCGTGGAGTCAAGATCTGGCCTCCAGCGATTACGACGTTTATTCGATCTAAAAAAAAATGCTCTGCGCCTAGAGATATCGCTCCGATGAGGAAGTAATCGCCGAAACTGAACCCTATTAAGAAAAAGATAAACGCTTTACAAGGGCGGCATCGAAAAAGTAGAAAAACATTGGAATAATTGTATCGCCGCCAATGAGATTATTTTGTTTTACTTGTTGTTTTACTAGTTAGACCCGATACTTATCGACCGCCGTAATACGTCACATGTCCAGCAGAGCTCGAGAAAAAAGAATGAAGGAAGCAAGTAGTGTGTTATGAGTCAGAAAGGACATCAAACAAATGTGATATCATCGGGTTAACGAACTGAGGTATTTTTTTGTACCAACTACAAAACCCTGTACTACAGTGTGGAGAGTAAATAGTTACAAACCAATACTTAGCTCTTATGATTACATTGCAGTTTTGGATCTTTTTAGTTTTAGATACTTTTGTTAAAATTTCAATACTCATTTAAATATTTTTCTATTTTATAGGATATCGTGAATACGTACTTTAACATTCGGCCTTTCTGGATGTGAATTTTTAAGAGGAGATGGGAATACATAATTATTTGGTCCAACTGGATAATTTCCATTTCCATTTTTAACAACTAATGAGAAGAAGCAGTTGTCTTTAGGAGAATCGCCACATCCTTTCTCGCTCAAGTAGCTGTCTGTTGGAATTGATTTTACAAGTTTAGATTCACCTGCTTGCTAAAAATAAAAATAAAAATATTTAATACAATAAAATTAAATTAAGATTTTGCTTAAGTAAAACATATCTGTATAGTTTGGCCAATTTGATTTTACTGAGATATAACTAAATTTTCTACGTTGACTCTTATTTTGACATCCCCTTCTTTATATAGAGTTGTTTTTGCAATGGTGCGTCGCCTTTTTGTTATCGTCATATAGCTGACAATCTATATAATACGAACAGTTAACCCGTAAAAAATACACTATCACCACGGACAATAATTGTTACGGGAATGGTCATGTAGGTATTGTAAGTTTTCGAGGTCGCTCAAAATGAAACTACATTTATTTTATTTTATTATATAGGAAATATACCTAAATGTTATTCTACGAACGTACAAGACGGCACTGATTTTTGTCTTTTTTGACATGTGTCATCCCTCTAACCTTTTGCAGTACGGTCTAAGGTGGAGGCGGAAATTGATTCTTTAGTACCACTAGGAATAATCAAAAAAGTGGAGTTCTCAGATTGGGCTACACCTATTGTCCCAGTAATAAAACATAATGGAGATATAACAATCTGTGGTGATTTTAAGGTAACATTAAATCCATATGTTGAAATTGATGAGGAGGTACCCATTACCTACTTCTGAGAATTTGTTATCTCAAATGGCAGGAGGAGAATAATTTTCCAAAATGAGACACTTGCTTACTTTAAATGCACATAAACGATTATATCGTTCAAACCGATTAATGTTTGGTATAGTTGGGGCCCCAGTTAAAGTCCAATGGTAAATGGAACAAATATTACAGGATATAGAAGGAATGTCAATTTTTCAAGATGACATAAAAGTCACAGTATAATATACCAGTATATATACCAAATATAATACACTCCGCGTCATAGAAAACGGGCCACCCCAAATATTTAAAATATTTTCGAAAATAATATTTATTGCTACAAAATTAAGCATATATTTTTTCGTATATTGAATCTAACTCGTTTAGTATAAAATTTCACCATTATCGTAAAACATCAATCGAAAATAAAAAAAATTAAGAAAAATAGGAAATTTATTGAAAAAATCAACTTACAGTTTTTAAAACAAGAATGAACTGTATATTAAAAATAAAGCTGGTATCCATTTTCAGTAATGGGTATTGGCACCTCGATTCTGGATGACACTCCTCATTCGATTTGGCATGGAATTTATAACGTTTTGGATACCTCTTTGGGGGAAAGTGGCCCATTCCTCAATGAGTGCCATCTGGAACTTTCCAGGTGTTGTTGGAGCAGGTATGCTACGCCTAACGCGACTTTTTAGCAGGCTCCATATATGCTCAATAGGATTTAAATCGGGGCTTTGAGTAGGCTAGTCTATTTTTTGAATACCAACCTCGTCAAGGTACTCCGTTACTATCCTTGTCGTGTGTGGTCTCGCATTATCCTGCATCAGCAGGAATTCACATGGTGTTGAAAGATTTCCGTTATGTACCTTACTGCTGTTAACGCACCTCTGTCAATCACGACAGGATCCGTATGCGCATCAAAAGAAATCCCTGCCCAAAACATTACTGAACCACCACCAAAAGCAACCCGTGGTGCCCGAGTGCAACCAGCGAAACGTTCTCCAGCTCGTCTGTACACCTTACTACGTCTGTCTTTACCATAAATAGACATTCTACACTCATCCGTAAACAATACTTTTTTTCAATCGTCTGATGTCCAATTGATGTGCTCACGGGCAAAATCTAGTCTTTGACTTTTGTGAGCTGGGGAAAGTAAGGGTCCCGTTGCTGGACTGCAAGCTGTCAAACCTTGCTCCCTTAATCTTTGCCGAATAATAGAAAGGCTGATTGCTGGTCCTTGAGCTTGCTGTAAATGGCCTTGAAGCATTCTAGTGGTTTGGGTCCGATTCTGTAATGCAGCAAGAAGGACGACGCGATCTTCCCTAGCGGTTGTTTTCCTTTTTTGACCCGTACCAGGTCGTCGTTGGTGTGACGATAAATCGTTGCTGGATCGTTTGTACAGTCGAACGACTAACATTCAATTGTCTTGCAACTTATCTTTGACTTAACCCACTTCCCAGTAACTTACAATTTCAACCGATTTTTGAAAATTCTTCATCGTTATTAACTGAAGACTACCTCACACTAAGTCGGCTACTGTAATACTGAGATGCGTTTAAAACTCATTAGAATCCTTTACAATATCAAACATTTCTCAAAACAATCGCTTCCTCAAAAATTGATCAAGTTGTGAACAATTTTTTCTCACAATTGTTTTGTTTTATAGGTTATACGAATATCCTCAATCCAGTTACAGGGTCGGTTTTTTTTCGCAACAACCCATTTAACTTAAATAACCCAAGACACATTAAAAATTAAATAATGTTAATTCAATATACAACAAAATAAATGCTTAATTTTGTAGCAATAAATAATAATTTCGAAAATATTTTAAATATTTGGGGTGGCCCGTTTTCTATGACGCGGAGTGTATTACACATTCAAAGATATTAAATTTTCAAGAAATAGTTCGCATATTATGCAGAGCAAAATATGCTAATAAATATTGAAAAGAGTATTTTAAAAGCTGAAATTGAGTATTGTAGGTTAAAATAAATAAACAAAGAAGTTCTGCATGCAAAGATAAAATAAATGCAATAAATAATGCAACTATTCCTGAAAATGGAACTCAAATATGTTCTTTTACTGGATTAGTAAATTATTATAGACGCTTTATTGAAAATACTAGTATACTTCTAAAAGCACTGAATAATTAGCTTTAAAATAATGTATAATTCATACAGTCTAAGCAATTAAATGCATTTAATGCAGCTAAAAGGTTAATTTATTCAGATAAAGTTTTGTGCCATTATAATCCAAATTTAAAATAACTTTGGCTACTGATGCTTCACCTTATGGAGTGGGAGCAGTACTTTCTCATATTTTCCCACATGGAACAGAGAGACCTATACAGTTTACCTCAAAAACTTTGAGGTTTACACAACAAAAATACTCACAAATTGATAAGGAAGCATACAGTATCATAAGAGTACATGCAGATTATGCTGGACCATTTAATGGAGGCTATTATTTTATATTAGTTGATTCCTTCAGTAAGTGGCCAGAGTTAATTTACACTAAAATCTCACTACATTACAATTTACAGGAAAATTGTCTGTACCTATGGAATTCCTAAATTTGATACTGATAATGAAACACAATTTACTTTTTATGAGTTTAAGAATTTTATGAAACATAATGGAATTATTTATAAATATACAGCTCCTTTTCATCCAACTACAAATGGCCAGGGTGAACGTTACGTACAGATTAAAAAAAAAACTTTAAGAGCTATGAGTTTAGAGGGAAATAATAGAGAACATGAATTTTGCAAAGGCCCACATTCTTGAACAGGAAAAACTCCTTCATTTTTTAATGTTTGGGAAAGAGATGAGATCAAGATTGAACTTAATAAACTTGTGTTAAAAAAGTTTTTCAAAATTATATTACAAAATTTAAGAGAAACATTATCGGTATAAATTTATAAACAAAACTAATTTTATTTGGTGATTTAATATTTTTTTAATTTTTCTAGATCGACTTTGTAAGATATTTTGTATTTTTTAGCAGCTCTTCAAAATGATTGTACAAAATTGAAAGCTCGAGATAAAAAATAGTTACCTAAAAAGCCCCTTTTATTGACTCCAACCCATCCAAAACATATTTATATATTTTTTCCAAACGAGTCACAAGTACTTCTATATATGTGTATATATATACATATATATATATATATATATATATATATATATATATATATATATATATACATATATATACATATATATACATATATATATATATATATATACATATATATATATATATATATATATATATATATATATATATATATATTGCATTAAAGTTAAAAATTGCATTTCAATCGGAACTCTACCATTGCCCTACACGTGTTTCGGGTTATTCAACCCATCATCAGGAGCACTTGTGGAAGTTCAACTGAAATGAAATGCGGTCTAGTATTTGGTCATTATAACCAAAATAACAACCAGGTACGCTAGCAGCGACATCTATACGAAGTAACAAGAAGTCGAGGGACCTCTCTCTGATAGCAAATTAGGTGAACCGCAAATTCAAAGCCTCTTGCTAGAGGCTTTTAACGACGCTAGAAGTATCCTTTTACTTCGACATGCATCTACGATTCACCTTTGAAAAAGACCATCTTTTTCGCTCTTTACGTAGAAAAAGACGTTTAAATGAAAGTGAAAAATTGCATTTCATTTCAATCGGAACTCCACCATTGGCCTACACGTGTTTCGGGTTATGCAACCCATCATCAGGAGCACTTCTGGAAGTTTAACTGAAATGAAATGCAGTCAGTGATATAAGAGGAAAAAAGCAAGGAAGAAGACAACCGCATGGCAGAAGGTTAAAGTTAAGATTCGTTTTTTAGAGTGGTCGGTATTAGATTGTACTTACTTATAGAATAAAGTAGTGTTCAAGTAATATATATTTCATTCTACACTAAATACACAGTACACAACACTCTTTGTTTGAATAAAATAAATTTTAAGAACTTCAGTAGGTACCTAGTGACTTCCCTTCTCTGGCAGTGATAGCAACTAACAAACGACGAGGCATGCTTTAGATCACATTTTGCGGAAGATTGTTCCATTCCTGCACCAATATATCGTAGAGCTCTTTTGAATTTCTGTGTTCTGGATATGACTCCGTAAACTCTCTTCACCATATCCCAAACATGTCCTATAGGATTGATATCTGAACTCCCCGTTAAAATCACAAATGTTGTGATTTTAACGTCGTCAAAATACTCAGTAGCTATCATCATGCATAAATGTTGCGTCATCTCTAAGATTAAATATAAACGGGAAAATTTGGTCTTCTACAATCTGTGTCAGGTACCTAAACGCAATGTCCCATTCTCGATAAAGACTACCTCCGTGCGAGCGTCAAACGAAATGCCTCCCCATGTCATAACTCACCCTTCACCAAATGGAAGTGCCTCGGCAACACATGCTCGAGCATGCGCCATCTCTCGCCTGGATGTCACAACGCACTTACATGTTTGTCTGAACCTGTAAGACTGAATTTCGTGCAAAATTCAATCTGGCAATCAAGTGTTAATGGGAAAACAGCGGTCCAGTTACTTTAATACTCGAGAAGATAAATCAGCGGCATGAAGTCACCTCCTAACTGTCCATTCATTACGTTTTATTACTTGTTGCAGATGATTTCGAAAGAAAACTGACTTGACCGTTAGGTTTCTTAAAGTACTAGAAACAACAACGCGGTCGTTGTAAGCCTCGTTCTGCCTCGGTCCAAACTAGGCCTCCGAGTAAGCAGACGGGTTTCTATTTAACTCTAAATATGAGAAATATAAGTAGAAAAACTGAACTTACCAAAACAAGACAGCTGTTGAAAATTTACTATAGAAATTTATTAAGCTCCCATTATATATTTTTATACGGACGTAAATATCTTTTACACTTTTTTTAATCCATACTTACCATATCAACAGCGACTTCTTCAGTAGAAACTGGTGTTAAAGAATCCCATTTATATACTCTAATTGAAGCTACTAGACCCGGAAGAGGTACTATAACATCTGAAACTACATATATTTCAAGAGTTCTAGCCGAATTGATATGGCCAGTTATAATGATTGGGGCGAAAAATTCACCTACAAAGTACTGGAGCATCTTCCACCTACCGGTGAAATCTGTAAATAATAAGCAGCATCATTGTTACGCGAAACATTGTAAATTTGGTAAATCCTAAATCTCATCCTTTATAATTTATTTTGTAAAACTATATTATATCTATCATACATAATTTTTATATCTGATTTCCCTACAAAAGTTTATAGTGGCTATATGGCAAGTTTTCGCTGAATTTCTATTTTTAAGTCCACATCCTTTTACTTTTCAATAATTAGATTAAATTAAACTGTCGGTTTACGAATTACTACAAGCATTAACTTGATTTTAACCCAAAATACTACATGAATTAATGGCAATATTGACATAAATTTTTAATTCATGCAAATAAAATTAACTTCATTGCTAATTAAGTTTCCTTCCTTGTTTTAAAGTATCTTACATGTAACTAATTTTCTTTCATGGTTGTAACCAAAACTGAGATTTCGTTATTTTCAAGCCATTTCTTGACAGAATTGAAGAATAAGTCAATCTAAGCTTCTAGCGTTTCTTTCTTCTAAACTAATTTACTTCCCAGTTACTCTTGTCGAGGATCGGTGCATGTATGTTTGGATAAGTGAAGTCATTAAATTTATTGGTTTGGCGTGTATCTTCTAAAGTATTATACGATTTGCCTTTATATCGAAGTTCTTAAATTTTTTTGTTCATTCCTTTGATTGCGAGTATTAAGTAGGTTATGGTCTGCATGGTCTAATAGTTGGCCATCTAGTTTCACATTTTCGCAAAATAGAAATATTTAAGATAATCATTTCATGAACTTGGGGATTTCTAGCACATTCGTTCTGACGAAAACTAAGGAGCGCATAATTTTACTTAAAAATATAATTTTCTTAAGAATATACACCTCAATATTTTGCCGTTGCTTTCTGAATGGTTAACAGTTTTTCTTCTAATAATCGACCACAGAAGTGGCCCTTTCTTACCATTTCTCTGAAAAACAATTAATGCAGTGCTACTGCTTCTTACTAAGGAAGCGAAATGTTTCTTTATAAATTAGGAATATGGAATATAAAGATGTTTACGTATTTGTATATTTACAGATCTGGTAATTGATAATCTTTTTGTAGTGTCTATCTGTTTCGGATATTAGCGACCATCATAGCAATCTCTACTTTGCACACTGTTGCTCTGAATAGATTTGTGTTTGTTGTATTGAACCACGTACTTAGATTCTTTAGCCAGGAAATCTTTTGCCTTCCGGGTCCTCGTTTTGCTTCTACTTATTCTTGTAAAATTAATTGCAGCAAACCAAATCTTTCGCTGTTCCTCATGATGTGACGGAGGTATTCGATTGTGTCTGTTTTTATTGTGGTTAACAACTCTTTTTCTTTTTGCATTCTTAATAAAACTTTCTGCTAATTGATCTACCTCTTAGATATCCACCTCATATATCTTTCTTTTAGGATGTTTCCAAAATATACACTAGAAAGTTCGGAAGCTAATATTTCTAATGTATGAATATTAACAGCTCGACGGAGTAGATTACCCAATTTATAAATAAAGTAACCAAATAATACTTACCAATGCCAGCCCAAGTTGGAGCTAACCATACATCATTTAGCTGCCAATAGAGAGCACCCATAGTTCTACCTAGACCTTGATCATTCAAAATGCTTCGGTAACGACGGTAATGCTCCGTTTCGATTTTTATTCCGACTGCTTGGGCTATCTAAAACATTAAATATCTTCTACTTATCGTATAATCTGTGACTCATTATTTAAATTATAACAGATAGTGTACTTATCGATAGTAACGTATAGTGTATTAACAATATCTCTTATAATATTTCCGAGACTTAATTATAGAATATTTCCGAGGCAAAGATTCTTAATACACTATATCTAATATAGTGTATTAAGAATCTTTGTCTCGGAATTAAGTATTGAACAGGGCTTTTATTGTACCCAAGTCACCCATAAATTCGAATTGGGTGTTACTAATTATACTATCCTATCCTCTACACTACAGAGAGGATTCTGCCAGAGTTGCGTGCTGTCTCCACTACTCTTCAATATCTACAGATTCAGTAGAATCTACTGCTTAAAGAAACGCTCTCAGATTCAGTAGAAGGTATATCTATCAATGAAGAAGATTTAAATAACTTTCGTTTTGCAGACAATACAGTAATAATGACGGATAGCAACAATGATTTTCAGAACGTAATGCAACGCCTTAATTATTGCTGCCATGAATACGTACTAATGATAAATTTGAAGAAAATTAAATGCATGATCATGCCATTCTACTCTTCTTTATATATTGGAAGCATTGACATTAAAACAAGTGCATCTGAATAAGTTGGTCGCCTTTAAATTTTGGTGTTACAGAAGAATCCTATGAATATCATGGACTCAAAGATAGAAGTAAATTCTTCTTCTTAAGATGCCGTGCATTTCTGCGTAGGCGTCCACCGTACATCGTCTTATCAGGCGAGATGTTAAATGGTCAGGATTACATAATTCTGTTTTTAGCAGCATTGCGAAGCATTTCGTAACTGTAGATTCCTGTCCATTGTCGAATATTGCGCAGCCATGACATTTTTTTACGTCCCAGACCTCTCCTACCCTCCATCTTCCCTTCGAGTATCAGTTGCTGAAAAGTGTATCTTTCTCCTCGTAATATGTGCCCTAAGTATGCAGTCTTCTTACTTTTTACATAACTAAAAAGTTCCCTATCCTGTAATCCCGCTCTTCTGAGTACTTCCTCATTTCTGACCCTGTCCGTCCATGATATTCTAAGCATTCGACGCAGGCACCACATTTCAAACACTTCAAGTTTGTTAATGGAATTGGCCTTAAACTTCCATGCTACCATTCCGTACAAGAGAACAGGCCACACGTAACACTTAAGCATCTTGTATCGGAGGTTGTCCAATTTACGATCAGTCAGAAACTTACGAAGCCTCAAAAAGCATTTCTGGCTTGTTCAACTCTGCTCTTTATTTCATTCTCGGGGTCCCAACTCTCGTTCAGCAAACAACCCAAGTATTTATATTGCCTGACCTTTTGATTTCTTCTCACGAGACATATATCTTTGCGTTAGGGTAATAATTTCTACTTATAATCATTGTTTTTGTCTTCTTGATATTTATTTTCAATCGCCGAGCTCACATGCATTTAAAAGGCATTGAAGATCTTCGATGTTATCTGCCACTACGGCTGTATCATCGGCATACCTGATGTTATTAATAAATATGCCGTTAGTCTGCCACTGCTTCTGCGAAGGCTTTTTTCTACGTATAAATTGAACAGCATTAGAGACAGTATATAACCTTGCCTTACTCCTTTTTTAACGGAGAAATCTTCTGTTTCGTTGAAATTTTGAAGACGTACTGTTGCTGTCAGGTTCCAATACAGATTGGCGATAATTCTTATATCCTCGGCGTCCAATCCCAACTCTTGTAGATATTTTATCATCAATTCGTGTTTTAATAAAAGTATCTAGAAGAATAGAACGTGAAGCGGAAATAATATTGACTATCAAAAGAAGAAAACTTGAGTACTTAGGATATGTGATGAGAGGGCAGAAATACTTAATATTGCAACTTATTATGCAAGGCAAAATTCGAGAAAAGCGAAATGTGGGAAGACGCAGAATATCATGGCTTAAGAACATGAGGGAATGGTTTGATGCAGTAGTGCAGAACTATTTAGAGCGGCAGTCAACATGGTCTGCATAGCCATGATGATTTCCAATCTTCGATATAAGGTGGAACGTGATCAAAAAGAACTCTACTACATTTTACTGAGACTGAGGCCTAGCTGTAGGCTACCAGATAGGTTACAGATGGTGGATAGTGGATGGCCACAACGGTGATACTGAAGGGTATAGCGTGTATGACTTATGAAAGTATACCTTAAAAAAAGCTATAAAAACTCAAGCAAAGTATCGTGAAACTACGACCATCTGAAGACGACTACGACTGAAAACACCAGCGTCTGACTCAGAGTGGGAGGCTGCAAACGGCGTATGTCGGTTCTCCATATCAGGAGCAGCTGATGTTTACCTTATCAAGACATCTGGTCAACGTGGTATTTTACAACCAAATCCTCTCGTGACGAAATTACAAGCAAGTAAACGACTCCTAGTCTCCAGCGGCTCGAGCAACTCTGTACGCGGCAGCAACCAAACAAGTACTCGAGTAGGGGTGCTAAGAATACTTGTAAAGCCAACTTTATAGCAACTTACAACGCAAAGTTAATAGGTAATAAAAATAGATTAGAAAAACCAATACGAACTGGAGACAGCAAAATTAGACATAGTAGATCTATCGAAAATATAGGAGTAGGAATTTTAATTAAAAACAGACTAGTTATCCAAATAATATGGTTTAAAAGCATCTCAAATATATGCATCGACATTATCGTCAAAGTTAACAAAACTAATGATAATCTACAGTAAACTAGAAAGGAAAAGTAAATTATGTAGAAAGAAAAGAAAAATACAAGCTGATCGACTCATAACAAATAAAAAAAAATTACAAAGAACAGTTATATAAAATACTTAACAAGAACTCCAGACGCCTACAAGATTGTCTCGATGAGGAAAATGACAGAATTACTAATGAAAAAGTAAATTGAACGAATATCCGTAAATAAGTAGCATTGATAAACTCTTCCTAGAAATAAAAGAACTTCTAGGAAAGAATAAAATGTATAGTTATAAAATCAGTAAACATGAACACAAGAATTGATTGAGTACACAGAAAAATGCAAGAAAATTGGCTAAACAAGATATTCTTGGTTACAACACTAGGCTAGGGAAAAGACATCCCTATAGAATGATATTAACTCAGAAACTCATGAAAGACGTCTTTGATAGAAGAAAGTATTTTTGTAAACAAATGGTAAGTTTAGATAACAATGTGATCCAATTATAACATGTTTTGTTTTCTGATGAAGGTATCTTTAAACTTTACGGGAGCGCTAATCGTCAGAATTGCCGCTATTGGTCTAAGTAAAAATCCTCACTGGATAAGACAATAACATACACAACATCCTGAAAAGTTAACCTATGGGCAAGAATTGTTGGAGATGACGATAATTATTTAATTTAATTAAAGGCACCTAATATCATAGGTTTGATGGCTATTGACATGGTCATTGATGGCAATTTTAATGGAGATAATTATTTACCACTTCTCCAAAATAATGTGATACCAACTTTGACCAACCTATATCCTGATACAGCAAACCCACAAGTTACAGCGAATATGATATACTTTCAGCAAGATGAAGCACCACTAATTACCAAATTAATGCTCGACAGTGCATCAAGCTAATAATTCCAAATCGGTGAATAGGATTAGTGGAATAGTCAGCACGATCTTCTGATCTTACGCCTTTACACTTTTTCTTATGGTGATATGTCAAAAATATTGTAGACAAACGACGTCACCGCTAAGCGGCTAATGTCATATCCCTCATACTCGAGCAATACATTTCAGTAAAGCAAAACCATTTTATTCATCCTGTGTTTCAATTATCATATTTATAGTCAATATTGTCATCTGACCTTTTTTCATATATACTATGTAAAAAAAGGTCGTTATAAAAATATCTAATAATTATGTCTTTGTTACTTATATGAAAGAGATCAGAATTATATAGTACAAAATAATCGAAAATTTACCTGTAGATAATAAATAAAAGCTTTGGAATAATTTTGATGACTTTCATCGGGCAATTTCAAATTAAATTCGATAAGAGCTTTCATCTGTTCATTTCCTTGAGGATGGTGTTGTCTATGATCCATAAAAGCACTGTTAATGTTCAGGTCTGATTCGTTATTGGTCGCTTCTAACAAAGATCTGTAGCTTGGCAATGACTGGTAACCATATTCTGAAGTAAACCTTGATACAGGGTATATATTGGAATCCCATGGGTCAGAAACGTAGTTGTAAAAGTGAACTAGAAATTAACTGTGGTTTAATCTCTACCTCTGGTAATTAAATCCGTGTAAAAAATTTTAAAAATGATGGTACATATGCAAATGATTTTAACGATTTCTTGCAAGAAATATTATTGTACAATTAATTTTTATCCCGAGATTTCATTACTGTGACAAAGTTTGGGATGATCAGAAATGCTATAGGGCATTCGGTACTTCTTTATCCACCGTATACGACTATATGTAGGTTAAACATATTGGAAAGCTTTTTTAACATTTATTAACACAGTTAATAATACATTTACGAGTATAGCTTATCGATTGGGTAAATATATTGACTGTTAACATAACATAATGACTTATTAAATTCAAATAATTTTTATTACCATCCTTTTTTTAATTTTTGACATTTTGATTTATGCTTATAAAATTAGTAATTAAAAATTTTTATAATTTTTGTTTGTTATATTTCAGTAGAAACACAAAACTTATTAATAAAAAATCTGCAAAAACATAAAATCTAGATTTCTCCTTAAGGCTGTTTTATCTGTGCACTAAAACCTAGGGACAGTGTTTTCTCTGTTATTTACCGACAAAATGTCTCGGAATTTGGACACGTTATTGGAAATTATGTTGCCTTTAAAATGATGGTTTTACTTTTTTTATTTTTTTGAAACTTCTGTTGAAAAATTGGATTATACTGTTGAACGTTCCATTATAAACAAACTTTTTACGCCCATCACTTGAAAGGTGTTTTTTTTGTAATCGTTGATTTTTTTTTCACCTTTCTGTGTCCAGTAAGAATCAAGAAAAGCGTGTTCCAACTTTGAAGAAAATTGCTAAAAAATACTAAAATCTAATAGTGAAACGTGTTACTTATCATTGGCGCTTAGTTTGATCGTTATCGCCTTCGTGACGTCAAATCTCATGAACGTACGGTCAGTTAGTTCGTGTTAAAACTAATTTTAATGAAGAATAATGCATTTATTGTCATTAAACTACCCGTCGGTCGGCGACACTGAGTAAAGATGGTCTGGCATAAGCAGTATAGAAAAGTAAGTGATATGCCAATTTCAAATCGCTGTATGCTTAACTGCTAAAACAGCCTCTCTTTCCGGCTCGAGGAGATAAAAATACGGCCGGGGCCAGAGAAGCCTGTCGTAAGAGGCGACTAATGGGCGGATATGAGAGGTAAAGAGCCGTCGTTTGAGGTGTCGGGTTGGTAGAAACGCACAGAGATGCTTAGTCATCTCAGTCACCGGTCTACATTCCTAGTATCCGAGACGAGCGTCTCGTGGGACCACTCTACTCTCATTTTCCACAAGAGCCAGGTGAGGTTGAACGAGCCGGGTACGTATGCACCTCCCAAAGCCGACACCGCGGAGAGGGGTGTGGTTTGACTCGGCACGTACCCACCTTGGAATGATTTACGAATGGTAGAGGAGCGATTCCTCGGCGGTAACCTGTCTACGTGCGAGGTGGTATCCCCCAACCTGCGTGCCTTTCCGCCTCCGGGGGGGGGGGGTACTCACGGAAGGGTGGCGTGACCCGCAACACAGGTACTACGGGGGAGTTGGAGCTCCACGCTTCGGCAACGTGCCACCTCCAATTGGTGTCGGACTCGTAGGGGCAGTGGTATGCGCTGGGGGTCTGCCTGCCGAAAGGCCAGATAGACCAGGATCCCGCCAAATTTATTTTGGAGGGCACAAAGCTTTGCAATGCTAAAACAGCCTTAAATATAAAAAAGGAAACATGATAGATGTATTATAAAACCTAATACCAAAATAAAGGTTGTAATATTTTTTACAAAATACAATACTAATATACAGGGTGTTTCATTAAAAATGATAAAGTAGTGTTTCCGATTCTTTTTTTACTATATAGAAAAGTCTTTGGGTATTATTGGATGTGCTAAGCAACATAGATGGATACGTATCCACGATAGAAACGAATGTCATGATTTAGAAGCCTGTCTGATAATACTGAGTGTTGTTTTCTGGATTTTTTTATTTAATTTATTATTAATAAATGATTTTGGAAGAGGCGATACAGATTCCAAAATGTCTTTAAAATAAAACAGACTCTCAGTGCATTTTGGATAAAAATTTGGTACAACATTCATTTTCTAACTACCAGGTAACGTATTTTCATTCCACCAAAATCTAAACTGGTTCTTGTCTTAGTTCCAAATTTCTGTACCATATCTTTGGATTACGTTTTAAAACCTGACAAGTTTTAACACAAGTCTTGTTTGGCGCTTGCAGGTCGACAGTGATATTATCGATGTGTTCATGAAGAGTTACATCTAGTGATGGTTCCGTAACAGTTTTATTGACAACTATGACTGGAGTTTGACTGTCTTGTTCAGTGACAATGTCTATATCAGTCAATTTTTCAGGACTTTACGGTAAAATCCCTGAAGCACTAAATCCCAAAATTCTTTTATCAATCGTTGCGACCTACAACTAAGTTTCGTGAAATTTAGGAACTATGTCGTACATAGAAATCTTCTGATATTGGTTTTCCCTCAAAAACCTGTCACACTATATGTTGAATTCTTTCCTTAGGGGGACATAAAACGACATGTCCAAAGGCTGTAGTTTATGTGACATGCGAGGTGCTATTGGGAGAACATGTATATGATTTTACCTACAATAATTATAACTATTAAGAGAGATGTGACTCCTATGATTGTCCATGATCAATAAGACGGGCTCTTTCTATGAGCATTTCTAGATGGCTCCAGCTGGTCCACCTTTCTCTAAATAAGGTAACTTTTTCTACCTAGGATATATAAAAATGGGCGATATGTATGCACCTGGAGCACACAAACTGCAGACGTTCGTAATGTCTGCCTTTTTCACAAGAGCAGCCCACCTTATTTTGCCCTTATTAGCTAAAACCTTTCCAGGTTTTTGGACTATAGATATACCGTTTATTTCCACACTAAATATTGTAGCGGACTTACACGGATGTTTGTCGTTAAACTGCTTCCAAATTGGAAAAAAATAAATCCAATTCCAAATGCTCCTGCTATTGTGCGTATATTAAATGCTTGATGAAATCACTTGCTTTTATTTTCCTTTTTTTTTCTTCTTATGCTGAAGGATCATAAGGAGAAGTGATCATTCTGTCCATTACGGATGTTGGACACTAACATGGCAATGTTGACTTATTGACTGTTGCCTTAAAAAGTCCGGGAGTGGTCACAATAAACCATTTTTGTAGGATATTCTTCTTCTTCCTGGACATCTTTTTCTAGAAACCTCACCTTGAAATATGGTAAGTTATTATATTATATAAGATATTCTTTGTCTATATAGGAAAACCTTAACATACGTATTTTGCACCACATTTCAAATGCTTCGAATCTCTTCAATGATACTTCAGTTAAGGTCCATGACTTCACTCCATATAGAACAACGGAGAATACGTAGCATTTTAGTAAACGAACTTTTATTTCTAATTTTATATCGTGACTGTTAAAGCTTTTTCTTGTTTTGGCGAACACTAATCTAGCCTCTCGATTCTTATCTTAATTGTCGTCAAGTGTTCCCGTCTGTTCTTTCTAATTTGCGCGTTCTAAAAATAGCACAAGTTAATGAAGTGTGATGTATATTGTTGGTTAACTAATAATTTTTCCAGTATTATCCTATTTTTTCTTAAATCCGTGTATTTTGTTTGTTTGATGTTAAAATCAAGCTCAAATCTACTACTCAGGTCTTCTTGGAGACAAGAATTTGCAGGCCTTCCAGACTGTCTGCAAAAATGATGGCGTATATAGGCCATAACTTTAACTCTGTTGCGACTACTTTTCTTGAATCATATGATCGTCGTAATCGTCGATCTATTCATCAACTTCTTGCAAGATTTTTATACTTAAGTTATTTTGGACTAGTATGGCTAAACTCCACTTCTCTATTATTTTATTTATCCACCAATGTATATTTTCATATAATTACCAACCTTTTTATTTCCTCTTACCGTTAGTAGAAAGATTTAGATTTATTGTGAAAATGGGAGCGTAAAATTATTTACAAACGAGCCTCTACAATAAAATTCGAACAATTTAGTTTATATTTAACAAACGTTAACACAAGTCAACAAGCTAAATGGAGGTGAAAAAAACAAATAAATGCATACCATCTCCATAGGCATAATCACCCGGATTCTGTGCTACGTATCCTTCACTAATAGATTCAACTCCATTTGATGGACTAGACATTAAGTAAATTCTTCTTTTTCCCGTAATACGTTCTACCTCAGTTTGAATAGTTGTATAATAGAGTTTGACATAATCGTTATAATATCTCTGGAAATCGCTAGCGGTACCGTACCTATAACAATAAAAAAATGTTGAAAACTTAGCTTCCTAAATTATATTCCTACTATAGAATGATTTAAATACTATGTTTATATGATCTGAGATTTAGTCATAATTGATTGTAATGACAATTACATTTTACCTAACAAATTTGACGTTTTGATTTCCACTCCGGAAAATGTCCTCAAAAAAGATTATTAAATAAGTTTCTTAGAAAATGGTGTATACTATAGACATACATATTATAATACAAACAGACTGACTGTTACAATACAGACCCGTTCCCCGAGTGCGATAGAGAAAACTGATGTAAAGCAGTCCCTGCGTCTCTTTCTAATTCGCCTCTTTTATCGACTACTTGATCTGCATGACCAATGAGAAGGTCACGTGGTTGATAAACCGGGTCCATTAGACAGTGATGCAGGGACTGCTTTGCATCAGTTTTCTCTGTCGCACTAGGGGAACTCGCCTGTATTGCAACAGTCAGTGTAGTGTATAGCGCCAAGATTCTTGACAAGGTTATGTCAGGTCACATAATTTGAGTTTAAATTATTTCGAGAACCATTTCAGGAGTGGAAATGTAAAGGTTAAATATTTTAGGTAAAATGTAATTGTCATTGCAATCAATTGTGGTTTTCAATTCCATATAAACATAGTATTTATGCCACAAGAAAAACCTTTAAGAACCTTCAGTATTTTCATTTTTGCAGGCTCTAGCATTCTCTGTGTTTTGGCTGTGTCGAGTCTTCTTTCTGATGTGTAGGTACTTTATGATTGGTCTTATAATGACCTTAATTTTCCAGTCAATGTCTCGGATTTATTGTCGGACTAGTTAAAGATGTAGAAGTATCATTTCTTTTTTCAGAAGAAACAAAATTGCTATTATTTACAATAAATTTAACTTTAAGTAATTATATTTCACTTATTATTGCTCATGAAATCCTTGTTGCTTACTAACTGAGTCAATTAATTTTTTATAATTTCGTATCATTTACAATTTTTTCACTATCAATTATTGTGAGAATTTTGATTTTTTACAAATTTCCGGTATAAATAGTTTTAAAGATTCGTCCCTCATTTATAAAACATTCAAAGTTTCACTATGTATATTATTTTCTAATTTATTTTTAATTATTAAGTTAAGTCATATTTCCTTGTTCTTTGCTGCTTAAATTGTGCTTTCACTCAACCAATTGTGATTTTTTTATTCAACCAATTGTGATTTTGTTCGTCCTTCGTTGGAACAACATTCGATTCTTCGATAAGAATACGCTATTACGGATATCCAGCAATTGCTTGGAGAACTCTTTGGCAGAAAGATCTTTTAACAATGCAACTTTCCTGTTTGTCGTCAGTTAGTTTCATTAGATTATCGTACCCTTCATTCTATTGTGGTACATTCGTTCGAACTACTTGGATCTGGTTGGAATCGGGATAAGGAAACACTTCGCCTTATTTTCTATGTTGAAATTTGTTCGATGAACCGTTCTAAGCGCAATAATCAATTCCAAGTGAGTTCTGAGAGCAACGCTTTTGTAAATGAATCGCTTTGTCAGCGATTGAGTTAAATAAACTCGTTGACAGTTAAATAAATTCGACGAAGTGACGAATACGAAACAACCTATATGTTGTCGTTTCCTTTCACTTTTGTTGTAATAGTTCTACCGTTATCATCCGGTGATCGACGCTGGATAACCATGGTTGAACAAAATGTGATACAGAGGTTACAATTTAAACAAAAACAATGATTATGATAATAACAATCTTAATGAACTATTTCTGAAGTGGATATCAAAACGTCAAAATAAACGTTTTTTTCAATTGAAATTGTGGTTAATTGTTATGTAGTAAATATTTTAGTGTAACGATCTGATCTGTCGTAAATCGGTCTTGTCTGAGGCCTGCCTGGTACTCTCGACTGTGGTCTGTTCACATTTGTTAATCGTTTTCTTAATAGAACTGGCCAGTATCTTATATGCTACATCTAGCAGTGCAATTCCCCTGTACTTGTATAGTAAGTCACATCTTCTTTTTTTAATATCGAGATTAATATTACCTTTAACCACTTTATCGGCGTCTTTTTCTCTGTCCATATTTTCATCATGAGACTATACAATGCTTTTTCAAGTCCTGCACCTCCCTTCTTTGCAAGCCCGTTGACTATTCCATTTACTTCTTCTTTTTGTGCCACTTCTATCGGAGATTGGAAATCATAAAGGCTATTCTGACCTTGTTTACGGCTGACCTAAAGAGTTCATTAGTGGTGCAGCCAAACCACTCTCTCAAATTCCGCAACCATGACATTCTTCTACGGCCTGGATTCCGTTTTCCTTCTATTTTTCCCTGCATTATATTTTGAAATAATGCGTATTTATGTCCTCTCATCAGGTGACCAAAATATTCGAGTTTTCTTCGCTTTAGCGTTAACAAAATCTCTGGGTCTTTTCCTATTCTTCGTATTACTTCACAGTTTGTTATTCTTTCAACCCAACTAATCTTCAGCATTCGACGGTAGCACCACATCTCGAAACTTTCAATATTTTTCATGTTGTTCTGTTTGAGAGTCCAGGCCTCTACATCGTATAATAGCGTGTTAAATACATAGCCTCTCAGCATTCTTAATCGTAGAGGGTTGCTTATATTTCTGTTGCAGAAGAATTTTCTCATCTTTATGAAGGTGGCCCTGGCAATTTCGATACGTCTTTTTATTTCACTGTTTTGGTCTCCAGTTTCGTTTATTAAAGTTCCCAAATATTTGTAGTTTGATACTTTTTCAACTTGAGTGCCGTTTATACTAATATACGCTGGTTGTGTCATGTTTTTACTGAAGACCATATACTTGGTTTTTTTAATATTGATATTTATACCATAATTGTTGCAAGCAATATTTATGTCTGTAAGTAATCTTTGTAATTCTTCTACTGTTCTTGCAACTAGTACAGTGTCGTCCGCGTATCGAATATTATTTACAATCTCTCCATTAATTACGATTACTCCGTTTACTTGTAAAAGGGCTTCCTGACAGATGCTTTCACTATATACATTAAATAACAGAAGTGACAAAATGCAAACCTGTCGTACTCCTCTACGTACAGTATTGCCCAAAATAAACAGTACTGAAACTGAAACATAGATGTCTCTTTGTGCGCGCTGTGATATTCAAATTAACTAGTATAGACCTGTCAAGTAATCCTTAAACAATTAATTATTAAGGCCTAATTGTTAAAAATGGTGTTAAGTACAGAGGAGAAAGTGTTTCTTATGGAGCATTATTTTCGCTCATACGGAATCGGCCGACGTAATAGTGCAAGTCTGCAATACGTGTGTGATTAATTCACACAACGGTTTAATAACTGTTCTCCAAATATTTTTTTGTGAATAAACTGTGATTTTGAAGATTGTTGAAAAGTTTAGAAATACGGGTGTTGTGCCAACCAAAAGGAAACTCAGGACGTCCCAGGACACTTAAAAACAGCGATAACCATGAACGTATTTTTGAGCGAATCTTGAAAAATCCGAAAGCCAGCCAGACAAGAACAGCGTTACATCTTGGCTTAAAACGAACATTCTTGCAAAGAATCCTGAAGGAGCTGGGTTCATTTTCGTAGGTGATTTAGGTACATCAACAATTATATCCCAGGCATTATCACAGTAGAGTGGAATATTGTGCCAGAATTACATTATGAGAATCCTGAATTTTTGAAAAATGTATGTTTTTTCCAATTTTTCCAGTAGGATGGGGCAACTTGCCATACTGCTGTCGGAGTTCGTCAATTTCTTCAGGGATATTTTCCAAACAAATTCATTTCACGATTTACTGACTTCCCCTATCCTGTACATTCTCCAGACTTAACATATCCAGACGCATACATTTGGAGCATGGCTAAAACTGTCATTTTTAAACGGGCACCACAAACCATCAATGAGTTAAAGTATGCCGTTAGAGCCTTCTTCGCGGACTTGAGACAACCTATATTCCATAAAATTAGGAGAAATCTGGAATTTTTAGAACATGTTATAAAGTATCAATAATATGTATTTTTTAAAACAACAAAATAATTACAAGTTGAGTACTGTTTATTTTGGTCTGTACTGTATTTCTATTGCTTGTGATGTTTCAGCTTGTGATGAAATTCCATTTACACCTCTATGTAATTTGTGCAACTCTTCCCCAATAGATTCGCTGTGATTGCAGAAAACCATTTCGGACTGGTAATGACTGCTTTCCCTTTTTCGATTTTTTCGATTTTTTTCGGTTGTTGTGGATAAATCAATGCAGTATTTTGCTTCAGCAGGTTAATGTGGGCATCATTTTTCAGTTTTATCGTTGATTGATCCGGATTTTCAATCGGATATTCAATCATCGGTTTTATCCAATATTCGAATTACGATTCGACTTTACGATTACTTAAAAATAATGACTACGTAAAATTTACATTTAAATATAACAAACTTCTTATTAAAAGCTGAAATTTTTGAATTATCGAATATAATGCAAAAAACTATTTTATAATAATATAAACTTATAGTACTACTAAGGTAAAAAAAATATTCAAAACTTACCAACTTTGACGTAAAGCAGCTTCATTTTCGTTATTTCCAGCGAACAATGCAATACTAGGATGAGAACGCAAACGATTAACTTGGTGCCTTACTTCCTCCACGACATTTCTAAAATTAAAATTTTGTTATGTAGAAAAAAAGTAGAGTGTATACGTATGTACATAAGAATGCCTATACAAATGTACAAAAACAAACGGGCCAAAATATAATTAAAAAAAAATCAGCCAAAAAAAGTAGAAAGAAAATTGCGGAATCAAGAGTTTTGTTAACCAGTGTATTCGGACTACTGCGACTACTATTTCGTTATCCCGCAAATCTGTTCGTTTTTAATGCGGTCTGTAAGTTTAATTCCAAAATATTGATCTTTCCATTTTCCTCTGTTAAAAACGAAAATGGAGAACTGATGATAAACTTCTGCACGAATAACGAATTTAGAATAAACAACATATTTTTTGAGCACAAAGATCAACACATATATACATTTAATAATACCCGTGGACAAAGATCTATGATATATTATGTGATAACCAACAAAGATATACATCCATCGAAATTAATCAACGTAAGATGCCTCAAATCAGCAATGTACGTAGTGACCATAGCCAAATATTATGTAAAGTAAGAATCATCCTGAAATACTTTACATCCAAGAGAGCGGCGCCAACACAAATAAAAATCAAAGTATTTAGTCGAAGGACTAAAAACAGAATCCACGAAGTACTTATACAGAAAAAGAATATCAGAGAAGATAGCTGGAAATGAAATATTAGATCACGATAAAATCGAGGAAAGCTGGGGAAAACTCAAAAATAACATAATTAACGTAGCAATATAATCACTTGGAAAGGGAAAAGTGACAAACACTAACATATCAGCAAAAAACACCATAGTTTAGAGAGGAAGTGAAGATAAAATGTAAAGAAAAGAAGAAAGCCTTTTTACAATACGGAACACAACAGGCATAATAATATAACCACTATAAACGAATCAGAAATGAAACGAATACTTTAGTTAGACAAATGAAAAGAGAACACTGGCAGAGTTTCTCGAAACAGATGGAACACGACTTCTACGGAACACAAAAAGAAATATGAAAAATGATCAGAGAACAAAGAAAAGAGATGAACTAACTAATAAAAATGAAACACATTCAGAAGAAAACATGGGTAGACTACTTTCGATCCCTATTTGCTAAAGGTGACGACCAACATTTGGAATGAACCACCAATACCAGTGGTGATGACAAACGAACAAATAAATATTGAGGAGGAAGAGGTAATGGAAGCATTAAGAAAATTAAAGAATAAAAAATCACCAGGAGAGCACAGAATATCAAACGAACTCCTAAAGTACGGAGGACCAGATCTGACCAAAAAATTATTAAAACTAATCCAAAAAATATTAGAACAAAACAGAATTCCTCAAGAATCTAGATCAAAGATCAAGATCAAGAATCTAGATCATTTTCCCTCTTCATGCAGAGGAATTAATTTATTAAGCACAACACTAAAATTAACAACCAAAGTGATAACAAATAAACTAAATGAAATTATAACACTAGCAGAAGAACAATTAAGGTTTCAGTTCGTGAAGATCCTGTACCGACGCTATATTTATAATAAGGCAAGTGCAAGAGAAATCGTTAGAGTACTACAAACCGGCATATATATATATATATATATATATATATATATATATATATATATATATATATATATATATATATGTTATATGAGAAAATATTAACCTTGAACTAGCTTAAGTTCGCCGACTTCAGATTTCATCATTTCATTCCCATAGAAACAGCTGAGCACGCAGTAGAACTTTGTACGAACCGTTGGCCAATATTCATGGGAACAGCGATTCAGCACTTCATACCAAACCTATAAATTACCATTCTCAGATGCCGGGACCACTCTTAGCTGCAACTTCGACCAGTCCAGTTATTGTAGTCATTTTAAATTAATTTAATTTTGTACTATTATTTAATATTTAATTTGTAACAAATAAAGTTCTTTTTTTAAAAGTTAAACTCGTGATCAGTGATCTAACAATTGGCGCAAAGTCAGTAGGATCCGAAAAACGTTGCTAGAACACGTGTATACTCACTGGCAGCGGCGGATTCTCATCCCTTAACGGAACAAAGAATCTACGGAAGTCCTCACTCCTGTGATCTACGGAAGGAACACCCAGTGAAGCCCCTGGTAGCCGAGCAGAGAGAACAAGACGACCCTTAAAGAAGAAGACATCTCCGAACAACCTCACTCCTGTAATCTACGGAAGGAACACCTAGTGAAGCCCCTGGTAGCTGAGCAGAGAGAACAAGGCGTCCCGATGTTCTTCTTTATGTAAGTGGATTTTGAATCATCTCGTTAATAATTTTGTTTTAATAAATTTACGAAATTGACTATACTGCAAGTCAATTAATCAAGATACAAAAAAATAATTCAAGTTGATTATCTAATATTTGAAATTATTGATATTGACATATTTCTTTTATACTATTTTATAATTACTGATATTTTATTCACATATTTTTTTTTACTTGCTATATTTTTGGTATATTTTCTCTTGATATATTTTTATTTGACATATTTGATACATTTTTACTTGATATATTTGATACATTTTTATTGATATATTATTTGATATTTTAAATTGATACATTTTTGTCCTTTATATATACCACCACATTTTTTTTCTCCCTTATATACTGATATATTTTATACTTCTTCATACTTCTATTTTTCATTTTCGTTTCAAAATATCTCGAAAAATGCCCGAGACACGTTCCCAAACTCAACAAGAAATCGAACCATACAAGCTTTCGGAAATATTTTCCATTATCCCAGAATTTGAAGGCGATCCGATTTCTCTTTCTACATTTTTAGATGCGTGCGACTGTGCCTTTAAAATGGCCACAGGCGATCAGCGCGTTCTGTTAACGATTCACGTAAAAAATAAACTCAAAGGTAAAGCTGCACAGCTTATTAATTCTAGAAAACCACTTTCCTATACAGAAATAAAACAGTTATTAAATCTACATTTCGGAGACAGTAGAGACCTGACCTCCTTAATACAAGACTTACAAAGACTAAGACAACTATCTAACGAATCTCCTCTAACTTTCTTTAACCGCTTACAAGTTCTGAATGCAAAAATGCACGCCTCGATCCAAATAGCAAATTTATCCCCAGATCAAAAAACCGCCCAATGTGACTTAATCGATACCATGGCCCTAAACACACTTTTAACCGGTTTAGAACCCCGTCTAGGACAAATTATTAGGGCTAGTAATCCAAAAGATCTCATTGAAGCAAGCAATCGTATTAGACGCGAACTTCAATTGTCATATTTTGAAGAACAAAAATCTAATTCTAGATCAACTATTCCTAAACCCTCTCAACCAATGAGAAGACCCTCATCTCAGTTTACAAAATGTACAAATTGTGGCCGCATTGGTCATCTAAATACTGAATGCCGCTCTTCACGTTTCGTAAAGCCAAACCAAACTTTTTCTAGGCCACACGGTTACCAAAACCAATATAATAATGGACCTAATAACTATCAAAACAATCAGAACCCTAATAGGAACCAATATTCTTCCAACAATCCAAATTTCAACCAACAGAGACCTTCCTTTTCATCTCAAAATCAAAATCAAAATCGTCCATCTGTTATCCAAAGAAACCCAAACTTCCAACGGGCACATGTCTTAAACGAATACCCTGACGAAATAACGACTAACTATTATACAGACGATTACTACACAGATAATTATTATAATACCGATAACTATGAAAACTATGACACAGATTATTATACAGAAAATAATCCACAAACTGATAACTTTTACGAAACCAATAACACACAAGATTATCAAAATTTTCTTTCACTTCCGAATCAAAATCATCCTCCCAATCATACGAACCACTCAACGGATATTACGAATATCCAAGAACAAATTCAAGCACTCAACTTTCATCCGGACCTCAATTTTCCCGAACAGACATTCATGTAACCCCATTTCATACAATGAGTTCCAAAAATTTATATTATATTAACGACGCTACCAACACTTTTAAACTTTTAATCGACACAGGTGCTGGAATCACTGTTTTCAAAGAAAACACAGCACGCAATTATCATAATAGATTTCCTGAAAACGTTACTATTCAAGGTATTACCGATCAAAAATTGTTAATAACAGAATCTGTCCTAATTCCCTTCACTGACAATAATCCTCACAAAGTCTTTATTTTCAATTTAGACATTGATTTCGATGGCATAATAGGCCTAGACTTTCTAGATCATTACGAATGCGTAATAGATCTTAAATCCCGACAGTTGCATACAAATTTTAAGACTGTCACCCTTCACAAAGTAGGACACGAGACAAACACACCTCAAGACAAAATACCGACACGCCCTACAGAAACAAGACAAAACGAACCTAAAATAAAAATTAAATCAGATTCTAAACAGGAATCAAATTTAAAATACCAAAACCCTATAAATGAAAAATACACTATCATAAAAAACCGAGATCAAGACAAAAATCTTGAAAGACCGGAGAGAAAACGAATAAAAGGAACAAACAGAATTACCATTGACAGCCGGACCGAACAAATATGCAAATTAAAATGCAACTTATCGAATACAGATGCCATATTATCAGCTCAAGAAATAGAAAAAGTAAGATTACCTCATGCATTAGTCCATGTAGACGAAAATGGAGAATTCTTAACTTCCGTCCTAAATGCTAATGCAATGCCGAAGACAATCGAATTTTCAGACATTTCAATCGCACCCTTCAAAAATTCCGAGACAATCCTATCCTACAACGGAAATGATTTTGAAGAACCCGTACTAGACAGAACACGAATAATTAGAGAACAACTAAGAATTGATCATCTAAATTGCGAAGAACAAGAACTAATTCTAGATATATGTACTGAATATGCAGATATATTTTATGTCGAAGGCGACAAACTGACCTTCACAAACGAAATCAAACACAAAATCGAAACAAACAACGCTAAACCTATCTTCACTAAATCTTATAGATATCCTCAAATACATAAGGACGAGGTAAAGACGCAAATTAA